TCCCCCACGAGCAAGAAGAAGGAGATCGTTCCTGAACCCAAGTCGTCGGTCGAAGTCGTGGATATTCTAGGTGAAGAATCAGACCCAGCAGAGAAAGCTCCGATGAGGACTGAACCCATTGAGGTTCAGGGGGATCTGAAGGTTCCTTCGAGTCAATGTCCTGGAACTGGAGTCTCGAATGTTGAGGTAGTCTTGGCGATCTCAGCGCCTCGAGTCACGAATAAGCACGTCGAAGCAATGGCAAAAGCCTACGTAGCGCAGCAAGTTCGGATATGGGAGCAGACACCATCTGGGTGAGCCATTCCCCTGAGTTGAGCAAATCCATGGTCTGCAAATACTCCGGATTACACGGCCTGGTTTGAAGCGACAAAGACTACGTCAGATTTCCTGACGCAGCAAGCGACGCTAAGAAGTCAAGATGCCACGTGGATCGCGGGCTTGAACGCTACGCGTCTGGATTTCGGAACAGCTCAAGACCTCCTGGGTATTCAGGTTCTGACTGCCTTGTGCGAATCCCGCCAATATACGGCACTACTCCAGACGCTGTTGTTTGAAGTTGGCTTCCAGCTCGACAACGTGATTCCTGAGTGGTTCCGAATCAGAGCCTCAAAAATCTTGGCTGGACAAGAATGGCTACACTCCAATGTCTTCTGTCAGTGGTATTCATTGAGTGACATAAGCTCACGGAGGGAATCCACTACGAAGTCAGAGCAGACGCGGGAACAGTGGTCGCCGGAGACCCTGAGTACGTGTTGATAACGGATACGGAAGCCATCTGTCTTGGTGAAAGTCTGCTCAATCAGCAACGATCCAGAGTTCGGACCGCCAGAAGATTTCAGAGATCGTCAGATGGGGAACAACAGTTAACGCGACAGCAGAACGCACCGCCGAGACCACCGTTAAGCATCCAAGCATCGCTGTCGAGTGGTTATACACATCTCAATCAGGTTCCAGCTTAGCTCAAAGTGGTCAAGGGCTCAAAGTCGAGACCGCTGATTCCTGTAGTATGTCGGACTCCGTGCCAAGTATTGTGAGACCGTCAGGTTCCTCTCACGGGCACTCCGCCTACACGTCGTCCAGGATCGGCACGTCCCATTAGAGCTCCGCATCTTCAATGATGTCAAACCCGGAGGGAGGAACAACGTACCTTGGCAAGCGGTTGCCATGCATATCCAATCAACTGGTGTGCAGAATGGTGAAGGCAGCGGAGGTGGAGCCCCGAGGCGAACGTTCATTCCCGCTCAGCGACCTGAGCCCCATCGAGAGGATGTCATCATGAATAAGCCGAGTGACTACGCGGATTCAGAAGCTACCCCTCGCTCGAAGTCAAACCCCAGGAGCCATCGACGACATCAGCGGCATGAGAGCCAGGGAAATGGGCGCGTCTGAGTGTACATCGTCTCAAGGCGGGAGTCGACACACTCTTCGAAACGTAGCCAAAGATCGAGTCACTCATATCTATCCAGTCACGTTGGAACCTCTAGTCGGTCTGGGGCGGCCTCCGCGTCCTCAGGTACAGCTCAAGTAGCCAGCAACATGATGCTACAACAGCTGGCAGAAATCACCGAGTAATCAACAGGAAGTATTCCATGAGAGACAACAGCGGTTGCACATGGAATCGGCCATACAAGTGCAGATGCAGTGGCAGCAACAGCAAGGTCAGCAGCAATTGCAGAATGCACAGCAGATCGAGCGACGCCTGGAGCGGCAACAGCATGGTCTCTCGGAGAATATGCAAGCACTGACCGACAGGCTTGCTCAACTGGAAAACCGGAAGCCACAGAGTCTTGACTCAAGTCTGGTTCACATATGCTTGGTACCTGAACACTTTCAAGCTTAAGGATCTCCAAATCCGAAGCTAGAGACCCTGATTTCGAGAGTTCACTTCGAAGAATCCTTTGATATCGAGAAACAGCACATGCAGCGTGAGTTTGACAATAAGCTTGCTCAACAATCCCAGAGTGCTGATGTGGGACGGAAGAACTGGCTGATCAACGCCCAAAATGCGCTGGGAGAACGTGAGCGAATGCTTAACACTCAATGGACTACTTTCGAACAGCATCTAAAAAACGAGAAGAAGAATGGAAGCTTGCGAGGGAAGCGATGGCCACAGGCATGCAAAATCAGATACTAACGGTACTTCAACTCCCCTTCTCAGATTGCACCCAATTCAGCAACTGGCATGCTTTCTGAATCTCTGAGTCCCTATGATTCAGCAACGCTTAATCCAGTGCAGCTGTCGCGGCCAAGAATAGCTAGACGCCCATCGTGGGTGTGTCACCGACAGCGGCATCCGTCCAACAGAGTGTTGCGGCGGATCTAAAGAGAGAGAGATTAAGCACGAGACACGTCGAAGCAAGAGCGTCAATCTCCAAGGGTCGTCAAATTCTTCACAGACTCCACCTCCTTTCAGGCGAACGGAGCAGCAAGTTGCGAGAAAGCTATCGCACGGAAGGAAGAGTCTACATCATCGTCGTCGAAGATGTCACAGCTGAAGATGGCGAAGGAGAAGTCTGACCCTCCTCCTGATGACCCGGATGACTCGGAGCTCAGTGATAGTGACAATGAGGCAAGTCGAGGAGGGAACTCCGACTCTAGTGTTGCTGAAGGCTTTTCGAGTGAGGATGAAGACATCGGGATGATTACGACGACAACCACATCTGATGGAACAAAGTTTTGGAATTGTAGACCTTACTTTGGCTATACTAACCTGAGGAAGTTCGATGAGAAGTCTTCCAGGGACAATCGAGTTAATTGGTGGGAGCGATTTTCGGACATGGCATCTCAAGGATCCCGGTCAGACAATGAAGATTCGTCAGTTCAGGAGCCGGATGCCCACAGCGATCACAGACTGGTTCACGCAGCTACCTAAATCTACACGTCACGATTGGAAACAAATGTCGCGCAGATTCAGGAAGCTGTATATCGGTACCACGGGTTCGTACTCAGAAAGGTACTTCACGATGAAGATGATCGACCATGAGACCCCATTGCAGTTCTTCTATCGTCTGAATCCGGCTGCGGTTAAGGCTGAGGTCAAGTTCAAGTCGAGTTCTAAGCTACGCGAGTCGCACATCCAAAGGTTCGTCAAGAAACTTCGAAACGATCAGCTGAAGCCAATCCTTGAAGGTCACAGGTTTCAGAGTATGACGGACTTGGAACGAGCATTACGTCGCCACGAAGATGTGTGGCGTGAAGAAGGATATGACTCTCCAACTCCTAAGAAACCCAGAGATTTCCGTGCCTACAACGTTCACCAAGGCCGACCTCAGAATCGTGGACCGACTAGACGTCCGGGACGCGCTTTTATGACTGAAGGCGATGCTGAACCAACACAGAACTCAGAGTTCCAACACGAGTCCCAGAATCCTGAGGTGTTTGCAGATCAAGCAGAGGCATATTCAAAGCCGATCTCATCGTTTCCCAATGGTGGAGCTGATGGAGAAGTGCTTCGAGTCGCAGAGAACCAACACTGGAAGTCACCCAACCCACATCCGTGTCAAGGTGCAGCACGATCAGAGCATTGGGACGTCTTCTGTGAGAAATGTAGAAAGTGAGGACACCCTGAAGCCAACCGTTGGACCGGGATGATATGTGAACGATGCCAAGCCAAGAGACACCCCGCTAGAGTCTGTGCCAGAACCCCTTGTGCCGAATGTGGAGGTTTTCACTGTGGAATATCGTGTGAACAGTGGAAAGCATTTCAGTCAGTTATGACATTGGCAAAGCAGGGAAATGCAAGTGAATTACCAACCCAATTTCGAAGTCTCCTTCCGACCAAGGACCACACTTCAGGGGCGCAGCAGTTTAACCAATAAGCCCGCCGGATGGGGATCCGGTACGCGACGGGCCTAAGAACCCCCCCTGAAATGTATGTATTAGTCTGTATAGGACCAGAACGAAGGGCGCAACTACAAGATAACCAACAATGCATGAATTTAGTTCAAGATGAAATCATCTACCCTGAACAATTGGACTCAGAGTACCAACGTTCAGATGACCAGATCCCAGAGATCTCTGAGTCCGAATCTCAGGATCCCTTGGAAGTACCATTGAAACCGGGTCAGAGGTACGGATGGTGCGAAAATCACGAACATGGAGACATGCATGGATTGACGACGATACATGGAGCTGTGGACGACTCCAGAACCAGAATCTTATTGGACACTGGTGCATCTATGAGCATTATGAGTCTTGATCTGGCGCGTAGACTCAAGCTCAAGCTCCAGATACACCGTCAAATCAAAGCCTCTGGTATAGGAGGAGTGACCACTTACATTACTACTCATGCCTGAGTGACGATAACTCTCGGATGGGGTGTGATGTTCGTCCTGAACATCTGGGTTGGAAATATTAGAGAAGGTGTTGATGTTCTGCTAGGCATGAACTTTATGCACTCGACAGGTGTCCGACTCTGCATACGAGAAAGCTTAGTCAGGCTACCAGACGAAGCGACTGTGGTGATGTATGATAATGAGTCCAAGTCCCGTGATATGAATCTCCCTGTATGCCCAGAGGAAAGCATACACCTGCATCCTGGTCAGGATGCTATTGTATGAATTCGGTATGGCCAGCCTAATACCCAACGTGAGTTTGTGTGGGCTCGGAGAGGAAAAAAACTGGGTGACCAACGTTCTGTATTCTTCCAGATCCTGTGCGACTGCCGTCAAGGTTGTTAACGTTTCAGACCAGAATGTTTGGATCGATACTAGGACTGCGGTTGCGCGTATTGTGGGGTACGGACAGTTCCCAGGACAATCTGTATTCGTTCGCCCTGAGAAAGCGCGGTATGAGGAATGGCAACAATTGGTCCAGGAATGTACCGTGCCACGCCAAGCAAGGATGCGTGCTGAACGGCTAGAGCAGATTCTCAGGGAAAGGGAACCTCCGTGTACCCAGACTCAGAGATATCAGTAGCCTACTAAGCTCTTAATGCATACACAATCCCAAGCCGCTGAGGTGATGATGGTGAATTTGCAGAACAGCCGAAACCAGTGGATATGACGCTCAAGATCATGGGGAATTCAGCGGTCGTCATGAACACAGTCACGAGAGATCCCGAGGAACCTGAGACCCATCCTGAGCCAGTAGGAGAGGCCCATCCTGACTTGCATCCAGAAGTTGAGACGCTGGAGCCAGAGAGTATGGCAAATGTCGAGAATAACGCTCAGGTCCTTGGACCGTCAGTGGATGTGCAGTCACAGACGAGCTGTTCGACACCGGTTCAAGGCTGGAGGCAGAATATGATCGAGTAGTGCGAGTCTCTGCGGAGGAACTGGACCTAGAGCCTGCTGTGTATCTCAGGGAAGGAAGTGATTTGATGGCGCAGTTACGAGACCAACTTTTCATGCTCCCGGAAATTGAGGAACTGACCCCAGAGTGTAACATCGACGAAGTTAATGTCGGAGTACCGGGGGTCACAACTCCAGATATGGAAGCCAAGATGAGAAGGATCCTGAAACGCCATCGCAGCATCTTTCTGAGAGATGGCAACGCAGCTCAGCCCCGGCTAGGGGCGTAGTGTGTGACATCGACGTCGGTGAAGCAAAACCAGTGGCTTTACGTGCGAGACAGATTGGCGCACCTTTCTTGGTGAAAGTGTTTGAACTCCTGAAGAAGTTCTTGGAGGCAGAGATCATTGAGCATTCAGAGTCCGAGTGGTCATCACCTATTGTGATTGTGCTGAAGCAAGACGGCATAGACATCCGGATGTGTATTGACTACCGACTTATGAATCTGCTCATCAAGCTATGTCGCTATCCTCTACCTTTAATCGATGACCTGTTAGTAGACTTCAAATCCGCGATGTGGTTTATGGGTCTCGATATGGCGAGTGGATTCTGGGCGGTGCGAATGACTGAACGTGCGAATTTGATCTCTGCGTTCGTCTACCCGTTTGGCCATTTTCAATGGCTCGGGATGCCTTTTAAATTGAAGAATGCGCCGTTAATTTATCAGAGCATCATCAACAACTGTCTGTGGGGATTCGTCCGTTTACCTCCTGAAGAGGAAGCGAAGGTTGACTCAGAAGTTCTGGAGTTCCTGAATCTCGAGCCTCAAGAAGCTCTGAGACCTGAAGTAGATATGCGGGACCCAGAGAATGGACATTACGGTTTTCCGACGCAATATTCCGGCTCCGTCACAAATGGGTCCGTTCCTAGGAAGAATCTCGTATATTGACGACATCGCTCATGGGGCGCCGACCTGGGACCAACTATGTGAGGACTTGGACGTGTTGTTGTACAGACTACGATACTGGAATATCTCTGTGAGCTGACCAAAACGTGAATTCGGAAAGCTGGCCATCCCATTCCTTTCTCATGAAGTGAGTGCGGATGGAATCAGTGCCCTGCCGAATATTGTCAAATGCATAGAAGACTTACATTTCCTATAAACGTACAAGGGAGTGCAGTCCTTCTTAGGAAGTCTGACTTATTACAACAAGTTTATTGAAGCCTTTCCAGTAGTTGCCGCTGTGCTCTACGAACTAGACAAAGAACATGTATGCGCTGGATGGAACTTGGAAGCCGCAAAGGAGTCGTTCGAGATACTGAAACGTAAGATCGTGTCGACCCCGTTGCTGCGACATCCAGATATGACTAAGCCTTTCGTGATTATCCTGCATGCTAACCCGTGGGCGGCGTGTGCAGCCCTGGATCAGGCGCTTGAAAGCCTCATACATCAAGTACGATTTACTGGTAGGGTGTTGAAGCAATCAGAGCTACGTTACCACATAGCTGAGAAGGAAGTGCTCGCAATCTTGCGGACTCTGGAGGTTTTCAGACCTCTGATACATGGATCAGAATTCCCATTTGTGGTGTATACGCGTTAATCTGTGCTCAAGTAGTTATTGAAGTCCAACACTGCGGATGGACAACAACCAACGTGGGGGCTGGAACTATCAAGATGGACACTGGAAATCCATCCGACTCAGAAAGATGAGGACGGCCTTGCGGCCATCCTTGAGTCTGGTATTACTCTCAGGGAACATTTAGATGAAGTTGCAGAAACCCTGATTCCCGCCAAGGGGCGTCTGAAAGTGATGCCTCCAGGGAGTCTGGAAATGTTGGAAGAAGACTACCAAGGCTACGTTCCGAGTTTTGATGGCGCTGCGAAGGTCTCTACTCGCCGGGGAAGTTGTAGATGCATAGTGTGGAAGCTGCCAGGGTTGCAGATTGTGAAAGCTGAAGGACACATCCTTGAAGGTGTGACGGTCAATGATGCTGATTACCATGATCTAATTCTAGGACTAAAGCTCGCTATGAAGTACGCTGTCAAGGAGCTTGTGGCAGTCGGTGATTCCCGAATCGTCGTCCAACAGGCTCAGGGTCTGATTAATCGCAACCAGCCCAACCTGCAACGACGCTTAGCTGAGCATGAAGATCTCAGGAAGAATTTTGTGTCGGTTAAGCTGATTCATGTTAAACGTGAATTTAACCAAGCAGCCGACTACTTGACCTCTAACACTATTGTGCTTGGAGAATCCTTGGAGCTCGATGACCCCGATGAGATAGTGCGTCGACGTCTCGTATCGAGAATCCTTGAAAAGACCATGAAGCCTTCAGAAATCCCAAGCACCCCTGCGACTGATGCGGTTTGTTCAGACCGAACCAAACTCGGAGTAGAGAATCTGATGCTGGGATACCAGAGTCTTTAGCTACCGCGGCTGAAGCATTGATGGTGATGACGAGGTCACGTGCAGAAGCGGATGCAAGTTCTTGGACTCCTGTAGACCAGTCTGGATACCAGGATGAACGTTGGAGGAGAATCAAGGTTCACCAAGATGAAGACTTGTGAATCCAGCAAATGAAGAAGGTCCTCAAAGGAGGCGTGTCAGATCTTCCACGGAGCCAGGTGAAGAAGATTGCGAAGATCTCTGATCAGTTTGTGTTCGATTCGCGAGAAGTCCTCTACAGGCTGAGCACACCCACTCCTGAGAGGCCCCGTAATAAAAAGTCAGATCTCAGGCTGGTGGTCCCAGGGACTTTACGTACTGACGTGCTACACTACTCGCACGAAGACTTTCAAGGTGGTCACCAAGGAATCAACAGGACGATTGAGCGATAAGTTCAGAGTTCTACTGGATCGGGATGTACGCCGATGTACAGAAGTTCGTGAGAGAGTGTGTGGATTATGCGTCAGCCAAAGGGCGACCACCGGTCCTCGGCCCGTCACCTGGTAGTATCGAATGGAGATATCCGTTCGAAGTGGTCTCTATGGATGTTGTCACTGAGCTACCTGAGTCCGATCGTGGAAATACATACTTGTTGCTGTTCCAAGATCAAGTCTCAGGATATGTCATGCGCAAACCTATGCAAAATACCGAAGCCCAAGATGTTGCTGAGACATACGAAGAGTGCGTATTCAGAAGATTTGGGGCAAGTTCGATGCATGAAACAGGATCCTCGCTTCATGAGCCAGACCTTCGCTAGATTCAGAGACCTTCTGAAAAGTAACCAACGCGCGACGCTAGGATACCGTCCTCAGGCCAATGGGCAGCAAGAACGCTCAGTCCAAACTGTAATGCGAAGTGTCAGAGCGTACGTCGCTGAAGTTGACCAGAGTGACTGGGATGAGCATGCAGAATGTCTCATGTTTGCTCTGAATACCTCGTTAGGCGCTGCGAGATTAGACACTCCGTTCTACCTGGTCCGTCGTTGGGACGCCCAGGGAACCATATCCGCAATGCTGGTCCCGAAGCCATCCACAGTCCAAGAACGAACGGCTTTGGAGTGGCGTCAGAGATGCAACGGGACTATGGCTACGCCCTTGCGTGCGCCGAAGACTTGCAAAAGAAGGCAAAGCGTGCGAGACCCGCCGCTCAGACTCGTAAGTGGAGAGAACTGTCGGATCGTGTAAAGGCAGGTTTCGAAGCAGGTGATTCTGTATGGTTGTACAGTCCCTACATGATTGAGCCGCAAGTTAGCTCACCTGTGGCATGGACCTTTCCGAATTGAAGGAATTCATGACGATTTCAGAGTCAAGCTCAAGATCCCAGGTACAGGTTACCGCGTGAACCCATGGGCCCACATTAGTCGCCTCAAACCGAGATCTCTGTTCCCTAAGCGACCGACCTCATAGATACAAGTCTCAGAAGATGATGATTTTGACGCATTTATGATTCCCGAGGATAGTTGGGAGCCAGACACTGCCCAGGATGAGAATGAAGTCGAAGAGATCCTAGATCTCCGGTGGATTAAACGTACAAGGACCTCTAAATGTTCTCGAGAATATCTGATCAAGTGGAAAGGATTCATGGATCCAGAGTGGATACCCCTAACCCAACTTAATTGTGGGGCATTGCTATACGAGTTTGACCAGGTCGCTAAGGCAAGAGCACATTGCCAAGCTATGCAAGCTGGTGACGATCACCCTGGGAGCTAGGGCCGAAGACGATGTCCAGCTCAAGGAACCCGTACTTGTGAAACGAATTGTATTGATTTTGAGAACTGTGAGTGGTCGTTCCCTCGATCCAGCGAGGATCTCAGAGAGCTACCAATGCATTAGTGAGTGTCAGGACAAACATATCGTTAAAGCGGTGAAAACGTCAAGATACGAGAACGAAAAATGGAGAGCGTATTAATGAGTTACTGCCTAAACCTGAGAGAAACGAGTATGACTCCGACATCCAGAGTACGTGGAGAACAACAATTGACGAAAGAAGTTCACGCTTGAGACGCCGCTGATAACGGAATCACGTTCCGAGCTCGGCGCTCAGGCATCATGAGAATCGTCGCTGTGTGCAGCAGCCCTTTGGGTGCTCCGCGTCCACGTCATCAAGTTGGGCAGCGTAGTCAGGGCCACCACGGCGAATAAGCGACGAACGCTCAGGATCGTTGAGAATCCAGTGGCACGCACACACACAGGAAGCGTCAAAAGAACAGGTTCGTAAAGCAACGTCTTCGGAAATCCAGGGATCGCAAACAACCGCTTAAATAGAGCCCCGTACTGTGCTGAAGCCGCTTGACATCTCTGCGACGTTCCTCGTACAAGTCATGGGAAGTATCTGCGTCAGCAACGTTTCGACCCAAGAAGGAAATGGTTAGCCAGTGGAGAATAGCCCACCAAGTCTTGGCGTTGACACGCATGAAGTCCACATAATCCTGATTCCGTCGAGCATCTCAGAGTTCAAGTCACGCACTTCGTGAAAATAGAACACGGTGACGCGATAATAAAACATCACAGACCAGGGCGCTCTGATGAACTCGCCATCTTCACCTCGAGCGGGACGACCGTTGACGGGTTCAGGAACGTAAACCCGATATGTCTCCAGATCCCAGCGCGCCTTCGGAATGTGGATGTCAGGCTTGTGCGGCTCGAAGTCAGGATACCCCTGAGACTGTCGATAGGAATCGAACTTCACCAGAATCCCGAAGATGCGATATGAGTCGTGAGTCTCCCGACATGCAGCCTCCACCATGTCTAGGTGCTTGCCTTGAAGGTCGTCGTAATTCAACTTGGCCAACTTGGACCAAATGCGTCGAAGGCCCTCGGGTGGAATTTCCTCCCTAGCCCGACGGAGGAATGTTGCCAGGGAGAGAACAGGCATCTTGCGCGCGCGTGAAGTGCCGCCAGATTTCGGAATAGGCGGAGACTTCGAGCTGGTGATAGCGCGATACTCGAATTTTCCGGATGCACCATGACTCTTAGAGTAACTACTCTTGTCACTCGTTTTCCCAGTCTTCGTCTCTCCAGGACTGGCAGGACTCGTGTGTGTAGCGGCGGGCTGAGATTTCTTCCCATCTTTGTCGGAATCTTCACTCGATTCGTCGTTGTCAACAGCGGCCTCAGCTCGTGCATCCTTGTCCAGCTCCGCTTGGGACAACTCGTAAGACGGATCCTGAACCTCATCGTCCGAGGACTCAGGGAGCTTGGCTTGTAGAACCTCTGTCTCCCGCGTCGACTGTTTGCGCTTTTGGACCTCGATGTAACACCGATCCAGACGATGCCAAGGAGGCGTTGGTTCCCGCTTGACCAGGCGTAAAACGTAAAGTCCCCTCTGTGCTTGTATAAAACCCCTCAGGGACGAAATGACACCAGGGAGTCTCATCCAGCTGACCTGCGTGAATTACTTGGGCGAACATGCGGCAGATAGCCTCCCTAGGCACAAGGTGGTGAATGCCCTGACTTTCAGAGACCCATTTCATGGCGCACTTGAAATCCATTCCGGACAACAAAAGATGTTGGACATCTTCGCGGACGTCGGTTCAGAGCATCCCCGCTGGGAGAGGACGACCCGCCTCTGCCAGATTCCGAGCGTTGGGAACGTTCCGGGGCTCGTATACCAGCATATTTTGGGGCGAATAGCCCCGAGCACGGAGTTGGCAGTTGAGTCGATGTCTCGAGCCTTGAGACGGTTTCAGGGACGGACGCTTGGATACAGGTGCATCTCTCGTTGCAGACGTCTTCTCCTTCCGATTTTCAGTCCGTGACCCAGACGTCGGCACCCTCTTGATTACGCGCAGGAGGCGACAGGTCGAGGACACTAGGATGTTTCGAACCCGAAGAACCTGAAAATGAGTCACCATTGCCGGGTCTTGGGGAAGGCTTCGCGTATTCATGACACTCGCAGCGCGGGTAGTCCAGAGTGACCACATTAATGTTGGTGAGCCAACCTTCTGGGATCGATGTGCCCTCAGCGAAGTGATGAAGGAGCGCCGCGAGGCGCATCCATTTGAACATTACGTTGATCTTTGGCTTGTTCCCCATCAGGAAGTCGACGAGAGCGTTCACGTCCAAAACGCGCTCCTCAGTGCGCCTCTCAGCTGCATGGCGAGCGGCCTCAGAGTCAAGCTGGGCTTGGAGTTGAGCAGCTGGGTCCGTCAGCTCTGTAACACGCGCTTGGTGGCGGGACTCAGCGCCGCGATGACCTTGACGCAGGAAACTCTTGCTGTCGATACGATCTTGTTTGAGGGTCCGCACGCGTTGACCCCAGTGTCGACACATAGCAGTCCACTCACGACGCATAGTGTCGAAATTATTGCGGGCCACCAAGGTCTCAGACGACAGTGTGCATTACTCTCGGCTGCTGAGGCCGCCTGGAGATGTCGGACCTTGACCAGGATCCGGCGGATGAAGGATGAGGAGTTGATCATTCTCTCCACCAGGTGATCCAGTGGGAATTGACCCAACAACTCAGCCAATTCGCGCTGACACGGGATGAAGCTCACTTCCACAGCAAGTGAGACATGTGCAACGCGCGGGCGCAAGGACGGCAAACAGTGGCGACGTCTCCACCCATGAGTGTGTCGAGGTCTTGGAGATCCGTGGTGTCCAAACTCTCGAAGCACAGCAGTACCTCCAGGCCACCATGCCCGGGGTACACCTTGACGCCACCTTGTAGTGCGACGACCGACGCAGGTACTCCAACCAGATGAACGTCAGGGCCGTCGTAGGCAGGCGGCGCATCCCAACGGACAGGAGCCAAAGCTATGCCCGTGTCCGCGAGTGTCAGAACCCCGGAGATCACGCCAGCTAGCGACATTTCTCCACCACAGCAGACGCCAGGAAGTTGGTAGGTGGAAGCGCCTCGGAAGACGTATCCGCAGGTGTCATAGCAGAAGTTACCACTGCGCCTGAGTTCGCAGTGTCAGTGTGGGTAGACGGCGTGGCGTTGGGCGCAGGATCTGCCCCTTGATCAGGGACGACCGCAGCCTC